GTGGCGGCAGTCAGTGTTCTGCGGAAGGCTCGCCCTTTCTCAACGCGCGGTCGGTGTTTCTACGGCGGCAGTCGACGCCCCGACGCGCATCTCTCTCGCGTGTGGCTTCGTGGGAGCGGGGGGCCTCTCGACGGAGTGGCAGCAGCGTAGCCCTCACTCCGACTTCTGGTCTGAGCGGGCCCTCCAGTCGTTCTACAACCACGCGTTCTGCCCAATGGGTTTCGCGTCTGGTGGAAGACATCATGTCCCACGTGGCGAAGATGGCTGCAATTGACCACCACCAAGTGCGGTCAGTCGCCGCACTAACCGTTACGGTTCTGTCGGCTCGTTACGGCGCGCTTCAGTGGAACCGTGCGCTGAAGGAGCTTGCACAAGGACTGCATAGATATCACAGCGTTAGTCCACTCTGTCGCGTTTTTCGGGAGCTCTTTATCGATGAAGCGTCCTCTGCCTTGGAGGATCTTTTCCTCTTCTGTCGGCTTCAACGTGCTGCGGTGAAGCACAGCACGGTGGAGACGCAGAAAGTTATCCTCCCACCGATGGAGACAGAGAGTGGCGCACCTCAGTCTATTTTTCAACATACAATTGTGTCGCGTCGCTACTTGAGGCTTCGCTCGCTGACAGCTGCTCTTAGCGACATGCTCACGGCCGTTAGTGTCCCCGAGCACCGGGAGGTTGGCGTCATCCGTGTCGTGCGCAAGCGGAGGCTGAAGCCAGCGGAAGTTGTCGGCGTAAAAACAATAGTGGCATACTGGATCGAAGAGGAGTCATCCAAGAGTGACTCCTTGGCCTTCGACCTCGGGGGCTTCGTCGACATGCACGAGGTCCTTGCCGTTGTGGTGAAGGCATTGAGCTCTGCACACCAACAGATTCCGGTTGCGAGTCGAGGCGCTTGCGATCCCGTCAATCGGGATGACGTAGATGAGGAAAGCTTGCAGAAGGAAGAGAAAGCGACGGCGGTGTCGAAGGCCAGGAAGAACAACGACGAAAACGAAGAACCGCTTTCATACGCAGCGCGTGCTCACCTGATCATGCAGTCTCGCCCGCAACAGCCAGAGGGTGTAGTACGACCAGCCCAGGCTTCCTATCGCCCACCACCAGCTGTAGTGAATTCGGTGCCTCTTTCCGCCATGAGCCCCATAAGGTCGGCGTTGCAGGAAGGCATTGTGGGGACCGGGCGTGTGCCACCTACAACGCTTCACGGAACAAGCGGTGAACGCCACGAGATGTTCCGAGGTGTGCCAAAAAGTCTTGCCCGTGTCTCTCTTCAGGAAGAGCGCCCTCAGGGCTACTTGAGAAAGCCTCAAAATGAGGTAAAAAAAGTCGCCGGATGCACCTCTCTGCATAAAGGTGGAGATGATGCTGCGGCTCACCAACAGGGGACGGTTTCTCGCACAGAGGCTCCGACATCGCCGGGGCAAATATCGGCGGAGCCTGTTATAGTTAACTTGAACCACGGGCCAGGCGCGGAGATCGACGAAGCACCACCTCAGCGCAATGCGACAGAGTCTGTGAACTCTGGTTGTTTGGATTCACACAAGTATGGTGGTGGGAGGCAGGCGCAGCAGTACTTGGCTGCCTTGGCCGCCATCGACGCCGAACTTCAGAGGCGCCGCGAGGTCCTCAAGTCAACTGTCGCATTTGACCTATCCACTTGTGACCCTTCACGCGACGTGCCGGTAGGTCCCGAATCGTCAGCACGCCCAACAGAGAGAACGGTTTTGTGGCGCGATGATTGTGATGCTACATCTGCCACGCCAAGTGTTGAGCCCACGCCTCAGCGAGCTATAGGTTCAGGCGAACTCACGCTCTCTGTCACGGCAGCAGACCTTGAGCAACCAATAGAGTCTTGCGAGCCTCCAGCAAATGCCAGCACGTTCGGCCACACTACACCCCCTCCGCTTCCCCCGCAGCATCAACCCAATTCCATCCTACTGCCGTCCAAGCACCAGTCGCGGACAAAGCCGGTGGAGAAATCAGGGGATGAGAGCAGCGCTACCCAGAGCGACTTTGAAATGCTAACAGCGGAGGAGCGGTACTTACTGGCTGACCTTAGGCAAGCACTGAGCCGTCAAAAGTAGAAAGCATTCATCCTGCTTTTGTTTGGTGGTCAGTGTCGATCAGTTCAGCCGTGATCCTGTGTTTCCGTAATAGAGGTTGTACGTATATTTGTATATTTAGGTGTTAGTTCCTGATAATGGGGATATGACATGATGTTCACGGGAAGGGGAGGCAGTGGTTGCCTCTACAAACTGAAGTGCATAGTGTGCGGCAAGTGGAAATAGACTATTTGGAGCTGTTTTTTATTTTTTTTATTTGGCTTGCTCTTGTGCCCCTTCAGATTGCTTTTACTTCTGAACTAGCAATAGCGCCTTCTTCCTTTCGATGCACGTTAACGTTATTTGCGTTGCAAAGAAGAGAGGAGCCTTTCTACAGCCCTGCTCTCACTTCCCTTCGGTGAGAGGAAATCCTGACCAACACCTGTATGACCGATGACGACATAAAACTCAATGTGCCTGTCGATTCAAATGGATCGACTGCTTTGACATGACACCACACTCAAGGAACAGTATGGGTTTCGCGACGCCGTCGGGCGGTGACCACCCCCCACCCATGGATACTGATCCCACATCCCTCAATCCTCTCCTTCTCCATCTGTTCTTCAGGCGTGCCAGACACGCAGGGAAGTGTGGCGTTAGCGTGTGGCGGGGTGCTGGTGACCCTGCTGACGGTGGGAAACGGTGGTGCTTAATGGCGCGCCTGGTCAAGTGCCACTGTCGGTGACGGCGGTGCACACTCGGCCGCGTGTACCCTAACCCTAAGCAATTGAGCAGCGTCGCTGGGAGTCCCGGCGGCGGAGCAGTCCGGTGCCGTTCCGCTCCGCCTCTCCCACCGCTTCGCCGTCGTCCCTTGGGCATTTCGCCACATTCGGATGCCACGCTTCTTCCCCACGATGTCACCGGTGCCAACAGATGTCGAGAACGAATGACAATGCAAATGTGGGTTCATGTGTTGCTATACAAGCGCCTTTTCTCGCTCTTTCCTCACGCACGTTTGTCGGCTCTTCCGCTGCGAACCTTACAGTCTGCTTTTCCCCTTTTTTCCGGCCATGCTACAGCCACCTTAAGGGAGAGGGCGGCGCTGTTTTGGGAGGCAGTGGAGGATGACAGAGCCGCGCGAGTTTTGTGGCGGGTGTGTGTTGGTGGGTGGGTGGCTGGGGTGCAAATCCGTTCTTCTTCCTTCGTGGACTCTTTCACACCGAGGTCAAGTATCCAATAATTCATCTACCCATTCATTCCTCGTCTCCCCCCTTTTCTCCTCCTTTTTGTGTCGTGTAAGCACATCCGCGCAAGTTATCATTTGCAACGGTCGCCATGTATCACCCCTGAACCCATACGTCTTTACGTGGAACCTTTTCATTTTTATCATTTTCTCGATTGTGTAGGGAGATAGCAAAAACGAGAAACGCCATTGGCTCCTTGTAAAGAGACGAGTCGCAGTTGTATGCGTGTGATGAAAAGATGAAAAACAGATCAATTGGATACAGGGGCCAAAGCAACCAGGGTGAGACACCGGAAGGGGGAGTGTCACACAATGCCTCACTTCAACTCGAACCGCATGGCCACGAAACACGCCAGACGGACGTGCCCAGTTCTGAGTATACCTTTGATGTGGTGTCTGATGAACAGCGTACGAAGACCTATGCTTCTTTACGCGGCAGCGGAAATGTCACTCAAAGGGAATGCGACAGTGCTAATGACAGAAGAGCTCTCTTGGTGGAAGTATTACCTATAAGAACTACGGGTACTGAAGTGCCAGGGGGGAGAAGTGCCACCATAACTGGCGCCGGCGGCAGCAGAGGAACCCCAAATCTCACCTTTCGACATCCCTCACGTCGGCAAAATATCATGCTGTCGGATGGGACAATATGTGCAAGTCGAAGTAGTGTTGTTTTCGATCAACATGAACCAAGAGAATTGGAGCACTCTAGGCGGCAGAGCGAGCCGCTGACACACGACGCAGCCTGTGCGAGTGGAGCAAGTGATTGTGATAGTGGTGTGTGTGCGCTGGGTGACGTTGTGCAACGATCTCCGGAGTCGTCGCAACGGGGCACGGTCTCACCACTAAACTCTATACTCTTTCCACCCGTACCCGTGGAAGACATTGAGTGTGAAAAAAAAGTTTTACAGAACTTCTATGAGTTGAGCAGTGATACGGGGCGGCGCCAGATTCTCCATGAGCTCTTCAACAGACACTTTCAACCGTTCGAGCGATCCCGCTCCTTCACTGCCGAAACTTGGGATGAAGTAAAGCGGATGGAACCCAGTGGTAATTGTTTTGATGTTCAATATGACCGGAGACGGTACTGCTTCTATATCACGGTGGCGCGGAGGCGGTTTCGTTTCTTCTTGTGGTCCTTTTTGTTCCGTTTATTTTGTCTGCTTTTGATGTGGGTGTTCATGTATTGTCTCGTGTCAGCCGCTGATTCATCTCCCGGCGGGGTGTACTTTGATACAGCCACCACTATTCTCTTCTCGGGAGTGGTGGGGACTTTGGTGTCGCGTTTGGTTAGAGTTCCTGCACTTGTGGGTGTAGTTGCGGCTGGTATCCTGTATAATAACGTCCCGAGCACAGGTTATTTGACATCAGGTGTCACGCCAACGGTGCGACTCACTGTGGGGATTTTTGGGCTTTCAGTGGGCGCCGTCCGAGCTGGACTTTCGCTAAATGTTCCTCGCTTCAAGCAGAAGTTCAAGCACTATATGCTGTTTAGCATTCTGCCCGCAACTGCCGAGGCAATTGTACACGGCTTTGTCTGCAAAGCAGTGTTCGGGTTTCCCAACTATGCCTGGGCCATGATTGAGGGATTCGTCGTTTCCGCCATCGCGCCAAGTGTGGTTGTGCCTGTCTTGATTGAACTACAGGGCAAAGGCTACGGCACACGTGACGGGCCGGCTATGCTAGTGCTCTCCTCCATTGCTGTGGACACCACCGTATGCGTTTGGGTCATTCAATTCCTCCTCGCCACTGAATTCAATACAATGAGTGTGGGACTCGCAATTGGGCTAGCCCCTGTGCAGCTCGTTGTGGGGCTCGGTGGAGGTGTGTTGCTGGGCTTCCTCCTGTACTATATTGTTTTCGGAGTGCTCTTCATGGAGGGTGAGAGGATTGTTATTGCAGAGGGCGTCATCACGCGCATGACGGCGCGCCACGCGGCGCACGTGCGGTACATGTCGGCAGGGTTTGTCCTGCTGCTGAGCCTCGCGTGTGTATCGGGGGGGCGCCGTGTCTCGTGTCTCGGCGGCGGCGCTGTTGCTGTCATAGCACTGGCGGGGACGTTCAACCTCCTCTGCGAGCGACAGGGCACCCCTGACCACCTCGGCGCGAAGGCCGACATGGTGGTGATGCTGACGAAAGTGTGGGACTACGTCGCAATGCCTGGTCTGTTTGGCTTTGCTGGGGCGAGCGTCAACGTCCATGAGGTATTCTCCCCCAACTTCATTGGGCGCGGCTGCGGTGTCATCTTTGCAGGCATGGCGGCGCGCTTTTTGTTTGCAATGCTCACGCCGCTCATCTCGCGCATGGGCTTCACCTGGCGGGAGATCCTCTTCTGTGGCCTTGGGTGGCTGGGCAAGGGCTCCGTGCAGGGTGCGTTAGGGCCCGCCGCGCTGCTGCACGCGCTGGACGAGCTGAGCCGTGCCACAACACCGGAAGAGGTGGCACGGGCGCAGCAGCGCGTGCAGTACGGTCACACGATTAAGAATACTGCTGTGTTGTCAATGCTCATCGCATGCCCTCTGTGCGCCATATTCCTCGCGAACTTCTCGCATCTGTTGCTCAAGAAGGATCCTGATGCTACGGAGCCAGCAGCAGTTAATAAGAAAAGGGCGAGGAGAGGCGATGCCTCGGCGTGAAATCTTTCTCGTTGTGTGTGAGTGGTTTTTT